CAAGAAGAACAACAAGAACAACAAGAACAACAAGAACAACAAGAACAAGAACAACAAGAACAACAAGAACAACAAGAACAAGAACAACAAGAACAACAAGAACAACAAGAACAACAAGAACAAGAACAACAAGAACAACAAGAACAACAAGAACAACAAGAACAACAAGAACAACAAGAAGGAGAAGGCTCACCTTTTTCGAGTCTGTGTCCTGTGTAGACTAAACTAGCTAGGTGGCGTCCATTTATATATAGGGCAGTTGAGGGACCACCGGAGTCACAGGTTCCACGCAGATCGTGATGCTAATTAACAAAAGTACCCCCCCCCCCACTAATAAAATGTCTTTTGCTATTTTGATTAATTATACCACACTAACAAGGTTCATTTTCTCAAGATGACAGGAATGTAACCAGATTTGAGCACTTATTTTGTTTTATTTTGTTTACCAACGGAGGGATTCTTTCCATGCCCTTTTCCTCACCCTATACTATCAAGAAAATAATCAACATTTCTGGACGTCTCCTGCTGTGGTTAATTTAGTAAACAAGTGCTCGTATTATCAGTACGGTTGTTTGGAGAAATAAGGGTCGCACGATGTTGTGATGAAAAATGTTGAGGGTTTTGTTTTTGTTTTGTTTGTTTTTTGGTTTGTTTGTTGTTGATTTTTTTGTATTTTGGGGGGGGGGTGTTGGTAAGTGTTTTTCGGCTGCATAAGGTCATATGAGCGTGAAGAACACATTAAACATTTTCAGTTGGTAGGAAATTTGGAATTTTGCCCGAGTGACGGCCAAAGCATACTCTTATCAATTTTAGACCAGCAAGGGATCTCTGACGTGAACAACTTGCACTCCAGACTTTCGAGATTTTTCTCCCTTGTCCGAGAAGGTTAGGTGTAGATCTATACGTTCTTATACTATAAGATCAGGGGTGTGACTGGAAGACAACAGTAAGAAGGAGCCAAGGAGTAACAGAAGAAAAGCTGCAGAAAGAGTCAAGAGGAGGGAGCAAAGGAGACGAGGGGGCGGTGGCAGAAAGTGGAGGCGAAAGTAGACGACAGAACACTGCCAGAGAGAAGAAAAGGAGGTGAAAGGATACAATTCTAGAGAACAAAATCTTTCCTTCGCCATCCGGATGCGAACTCGGGATTTAAGCAGCAGGCTTCCAAATTTGTCAAAGGTGTCTCGATAGGGATGATAAACATTTACAATAATTTACTTTAAAAATCCAACTCATCACACATTTGTGTGCAATATAACGATGATAAACTCACGTACACATAACAATTATAAACTTACACACACATATAACAATTATAAAACCAAGTACATACATAACGATTATAAATAAACTCACCAACACATGTAATCATGCTAAAACAGTGTACATATAGTCGTTATAAGCTCACGTTTATTAAACGATTCTAAACTCACAAACACATATAGCCATTATAAAACCGCGTACATGTAACCATTGTAATCTCACATACATTTTATCATTAAACAAGTAAACCCAAGTACGTATAATCTGTATAAAAGTGGACTTGGGAGGCTTTGTGCAAAAACTCCTCCCTTATTACCTAACCCACACCTTTGAAACTTTGCAGGCGTCCACAGCATCCATGTGGCTAGGACCTAACTTTTAAAAATCCACGCAAACTGCTTTCCCCGATTTTTCCAAAAGGCTTTGTTTCGTCCACACAGAGCTCTACCTTTTCAATGTACATGTAGTTGAATAAGCATATGCAGTGTTCAAAACATATTTCAAGACTTCCGTTCTCACGCTGAGCACACTTAACCCACAATGACTTGACGATTAAGTTCGTTCATCGAACGGGGTTCCCAGCTAGTATTATATAACTCAAGTATGATAATATATTAACGGTTATCAAAGTTTCCCCTCATCTTCAGAAAGTGTAGACTGTCATTCACCGCTCACTGTCTGTTGTGTCACTGCATGTCTGTGCGTGCGTGAGAGAAATTGAGCACAATTCTTCGGTCACCACTGCCACAGAGATCTTTTTCCTCCGTCGTTACGCACGTCAATTAAAAAAAAAAAATGTTTTGGTCCCGTCTCCTGATTTTGGTGCCGATTTTTGTAGGTTACGTAAAATGTATTGACATGTGCAAATTGTTGTTTCAAGAAAAAAACAACAAGGAAAACACAACAAGAAAAAGCGGAATTATTTATAGTCGGTGATGATGATGATGATGATGATGATGATATGCCCACGTCAACTATTGAGCGAAATTTCCCGCGCCTCATCCGCACTCGCACCCGCAGATCTGTCTCCGCGGGGTTTTTTTTGCAAAAAAAAAAATAAATAAATAAATCTGAAATTATGCAAACTGAGCCCAAAAAATGTGAAATGATGCGATTCTGTTAATTTTAAGAAAGAACGATAAAGGATAATAATCAGAAATTATGCAATAGAATAATCAAATTTTGATAAATTATGCGGGGTGCATAAAACACCGGGTACAGGCAGATTGAAGTAGGCCCGGTCAGGGGCGGCCGCGAGGTATGTAGAACTAGAGACCTAGCAATGTATTTAGGTCTCTAGTAGAACTGACCGGCTCTTATTCACGCCGACTTCCCCTACCATCTCTTTTATCTCACCCACAACATACTCAGAGAGACACATTATACTATTCTTCATTTTATACCTATATTTTCGTTCCCTCGCCACGCACAAACACACACACACACACACACACACACACACACACACACACACACACACACACTTTGTCTCATTAATAACCTCGGCACGCTCCATTTTGCCAGTCAGTTTGTTGTTTTCAAACCGTGGGTTAGCTGGCCTATATTTTCGGCCGTACGCTTAGTAAAATATGGGTTTAATTAACGTCCCTATCAACACTATTCGGGTTGTTTAAAGGGCGGCACCTGCGAATTTAGCATCCGTCCACGCCGATAGGACCGTCTAAATAATTATATGCTAAACAAGGTGCCGAGGGTATCCTATCTTGACAGTTAACCACCCCGGTTTGAAGGAGTTACCATCGCCCCCGCCGGGACAGGAAGATTCGA